TCTGGGGGCTCAGATGGAGAGGCAGAAGGCAAACACGTGCAGGCAGTCACTGAGATCTTCCACTTAGAAAAACAAATGACACACAAAAAGTTCATCTGGTGACATAAGAGGTCCCTGGAATTGCTTTGCTGTACAGACAGGACGTGGCAGTGGGGGCTGAGTTAGGATGGAGGAAATGTGAGCAGCCTTTTATTTTCTGTGAAGGGGCAGATGGCACTGCTGGGAGTCGCGGATGTGCAGGGAAAGAATAAGAGAGTGATGCATTTCGGTTTGAGTGTAGCAGCATCAGAGGGAAACGGGGAGCCTCGTATGTAACTCAGTGCTCTCCATAACATGCTGAGGTTTGTTAGCACACCAAAAGGAGATTTTCTGTGGTGCCAGCAGTTACTTAAAGTTGGGAGCTTTTGTTGCACGTCCTGCCATACCAACTAACAACAAATAGCACCCAGGAAGGAAGGCTTACCCAGGGGCACAGCACTCAGCACAAAAGGAATGGTTTCTTCAGTTTTTCAATTATGTGTTACACTGATGTGATCGATTAACAACCTCGCTTTCTGATTGCATTTGTTCCTTAGGGCTGTTTCTTCCTTTCCTTGTTTTGGAATTATGATTGTTTTCAGCAGGATTGGGCCACGTTCTGGGGTTTTTTCCTAGCTCCACTTCACCACAGAAACACTTCTGATGGAAGCTCTGTGTACCATGGGCTGGAACAGCCCTGACACTGAACTTGTTTGTTTCCTGCCTTGTAACTTTGGCTGTGCTGAGCAAACACAAACCTCCCTCCTGCATGGTAACTGTTGCTATGTGCAAAATAATGAGAGGTGGGCTGCTGCAGCCCTGTGACAAGTTGGATGTAACAGCAGTGCGTTTTAATTGTCTGACAGGGCAGCTTAATGTCAACTCATCTCACTATTAGATGCTTAATGTTGATGTTTCACTTCTTTCCATCTTCAGTATTCCCACAGAGCCTGACAACAGTGTCTGACAATGATTAATGGTCTCTTTTTTAAGTAGCTGGTGTATATCACATGGTGCCCATTCCTTCTGCATGTACAGGAAAAACTCTGTGACTCATTTAATCTTATGTAAACTGACAGCTTCTATCTGATTTGCAGCACTGGGCAGCACCCTTCTCAGGGTCTGTCTTTGGATGACATGAGGAGAAACTTCCAGTACCCTCCAATTGACAAAAATGGTGAGTTACTGCAGAATATTCCTTCTAGTGTCTCAGTATGGTTAAACAATGCAGAGCTGCAGTTTTCTGGCAGCCTGATAAGAAAGCTGATCTTCAGTGCACACTGCTAGTTACAGCGAGGTCTCACTCCATTCTCCTGCAGCTCCTGCCCCCCTTTCCCCTGCACCCTAGGCTTTTGGAGATGGTCTCTCTGTGCATGTGGATCTGTGAATAAGGAAAGAATGTGGCATTATATCCTCAAGGCTGCTCCTCTATTTAAAAAAAAAAAAAAAAAAAAAAAAAAAAAAAAAAA